TTTTTTATTAGTTAAAAAAGTTTCAAAAATCCAATAGATTTCGTTCCACTTCACAATTGTGTCCCACTTGTTGGTGATTCTTCACATAAAATAAAAAATATATATCTTTATGTTTGAAGCCTGAAATGTGGCAAAAGGTTGAAAAGTTCAAGGGGGCCGAATACTTTCGCAAGGCACTGTACCTGGTTCCCTCTGCCATGAACAGGACAAAATGGGCAATTCCATAATAAAATAATAATATAAGAAAGGCTAGAAATGAGAGGAAAGCATTCATCCCATCTATCTCATTTGGTTGTTAATAATTGATCTAAGGATGTCATTCAGCCATTTCCTGAAAGAAGTCAGGGTATTGGCTTTAACAACATGCCTGGATAGGCTTGTTCCATATTCCCACAAGCCTTTCAGTAAAGGTGGGCCTCCCTAATTAATGTTAACGAAAATACATTTCCACATAGTTTTCACTTGGGCCCTGTTTCACTTCATCCTGATGAAGTCCGCTAGGTAGATTTTGAAAACTTGTATGAAGTCCCTGGCAATCTTTTCTATTCAAGACTAAAAAGGAGCATTCCCATCAGCCCTGGAAATAATCTGGTTGCTCTTCTCTGGACATATTCTAGAGCAGCATTTTCTTTTGAAAATTGTACATGATATTATTAATGAGGTATTACTTGTTCATTGTACAATTTTAACATCACACCCCTTGATTTACATTCTATTATTTTAACTGCATATACTGTACAAACAATTTGTTAGCCTTTTTGTTTCTCCACATTTTATAGAAGATAAAGTTTTCATAAGTCTTTTCTTCTGTAGCTCATTGCTTCCCATTTTGTATTTATAATTTATATTTTTTTACATGCATGCAAAACTTTGCACTAGTCTACATTAAACATCATCTGCCATGTGTTTGCCCAGTCTTGAATTTTATGTAAATCTATTTTATTTCAATTTGTAGCTTCTGCAGTGTTTACTAATCCTCATAATGTGGCATCATTTGCAAACCTGGCTGGTTTACTTACCATACCAGAATCTAGATTATTGATATAAATTAAGAATACCAATAGTACAAATCCCTTTGCTACTCCTCAAATTTATCGTACCCCAATTTGTCCTTTCACTCCTTATCTGAAATAAAATCTAATAAAAAACTTTTTTATTACACTAATCTAAATCCTCGCCCTTGTGTTTCCCTGAATGTCTGCTGTCTACAGGTTGCGAATTAAACTTTTAAGAGGAGCTTTATCAAAAGCCTGAAAATCTAAATCTACTGTATGGTTGATGATTCTGAAAATCTAATTACACCACATCATATGCCTTGTGTGCACTCTTATAACTTATTCAAAGAACTCTAACAAGTTGGTCATGCAAGACCTACCTTTCCTAAATACATTTTGACTGTTCTCTAGGATATTGTTTTCATACAGGTAATCCTCTTGTTTAGCTTCACTGTTTCCATAACTTTATGTGCATATTTTCATCCATAGAAGCCAAATCCCAGACTGAAAATGATCCAAACCATTCAAATTGGTTGACTGGCTACCTCAATTCAATCAAACATTTGTGGTTCAAACCTGGGAACACAGTTCACAAATGGAAATTTAAAGAGACTGAAAGATCTAGAGTAGTTCTGTCTGGGGAATGGTGAAATATACCACTGCTACAGGCTCATAGCACACTACAGGAGGGGTCTGTGAGTGTGATTCAGCTGAAACAAGGTTTGCTAAATACTAAGTACAAGAGTGTGAGTAATTGTGACCCTCATGTTTCCTGGTGTTAAATTAATGATTTTTGGTAAATATGACCTTTCCTATTTGCAATGCTGTCTACATTATGACATTTTTTCAGCAGGACACAAAATCCTATCCATAAATGTTTTTGGAGGGCACTTTGTCTCACTCCTCACTATATGACAATTTTCTATTTCTATTAAGTCATAACAGTGTTAGTGTAATTGTGTGCACATGCAGAAATAATCATGTATGTAGTCATTTAAAAGAGATGATCAGGGGTACTTTATTCCAACCAGTTTGTGGCTACTACTCCCTAAACATGAGATATTTACACTTGGTAATATTCACCTTGATAATGGGCCCTAAACATCAGGCTGATTCTGAGACTTTGGTGCTTCCCTTTGTATGGCTTTTACTCTGCATTACGAATGGAGCTTATTGAGGAAAGAATGCAGATCACATTTCACACAGACGAGCGCGTTCTAATGCTGACATGAAGCAGAGCACAGCGCACTGTGTGTTAAGCATGAGGGTATGTGGAGTTTATCTCTCACCATTTAAAAAGGTGATATCATTTCATTTTTAAAGTTTATCTTTTCTAAAACTCTGACCTTAGCTAACCTCATCCTTCATAATGTAACCTTGTAGAGGCTGTGCAAAAAAAACAGCAGCACACCAATTAATATTGAATTTCAGGTTGTTTGACTTAGTTGAAATTTTTGACTATAGCTGTAGTATTGGTGATGTTATGCAGTGTATTTACATATTTACATATTTTGTGTCTTGTATAGTCTGAATGTAACTTTTATTATCGCACCATAATTAACTTGATGACAAGCTGGCTGCTGTGAGACTTTTTATTCCCTCCTTAGTGAGATGAGAGTGAGCTTTTCCCAGACTCCTGATTGTACTGCCCAGGAATGTTTGTCTTTTCGTGTCAGGAGGGCTGTGTTTTTGGGCCCTGCTTAAATGGTTTTGCAGCTAAAAAGTCAAATACACACTTATGACTTCAATGGAAAGGCCCATGTTTCTCTTGCATGTTGAAAATTAAAAATCTGTTTAATTGTGAATCTTGAATACCACGTTTATTTTAATTGTATTCTATTGTGGAATCTCTAAGGTTTTCTTGCTGCCTTCCTCACCCAACACTTTTTACTTATAGACCTATCTGACATCTCTGTAGAAGCCCCGGCTTCTTTCAAGAAATAGCCTAGATAAGGTGCTTCAGTCTGGACACCGAGGGTTGTGGGACAATCTACAGTACCCAGCCCTGTTGTTGAAAACCGATAACTTGGCTTCTTTCAAAAAACAGCTGGATGCGATGCTTGGATCAATTAGCTACTGACTACCAAGCAGTCTAGATGGGGCCAAACTCCTCTTGATTAGTTGATCTGTTTTTTATGTACTTATGAATGTTGCTGTTCTCACTGCTAACATAGCAGCTCACATAGCTAAGCTAAGCTCCAGGCTATCCAACACCAATGACACCTCAGCACTCTGGGAACCTTTGGCACCATCCTGTAATGACATGGCTCACACTCAAGCTGACAGTGTCAAGTCTGTAGCATTTAGTATGCATTCAGGATGTCTCTGACTATTACAGCAGCATAGGGCATTGGGAACTGTCAATTCCCTACATGAAAAGGCTGCATAAAAGGGGCACTTACAGCAATTAACTATCACAAAAGATGCAAATTAAGTTTGATTTCCAACTGAGGAGTGAAGTTATGAAATTGTTATAGAACATAAACAGGCTGTCCACTCTGTGATAAATGCAGTGGCAATCTTCTGTTTAAAACAAAATAGAACAAGAGGCACTTCCACAGCCAGAACATAAAAGGAAGAAATCCTGGGGAAGACTGGCTTGGCTGATTTAGTTTAATAAAATATAGTCCTTAGCCTCAGTGCATGTCTAATCTGATGGCCTTCATAGTCTGACTGGATGAGCCCAGCTCGCTTAACTGCCATTCCTAGCATTTAGTCTGAGATTTTTCCCGTGACCAGTCAAAACTCATATAGAATCAAAGTACCCAGTTTACAGCAGAAGAGCCGCTTACAGCCTCTTTACTGTATTCAAGAACTTACATATAAGAACTAATAATACAATCACCCAAAACAGACTCAAAACACCTCTGATGATTTTGTCCTTATAATATGGATAATCATGCCACCATTTTTCCAAACTGCCATAATTGAAAAAAATCTTCAAATGCATTGACAAGTAAATATAAGCAGCAGATTTAATTTAATTAGTAACTTGGTTTTCTATTTCTGCCAGCACTTTTTCTGAATATGACCTCATTATTGTGGAGATTTAGTGAAATGCTTCACTTCAGAGCTACTTACACTGCATTTACAGAACATTCTTGTTAAATTCAAAACTTACATTTTCATTTTCTCTCTGCTATCTGATAACAAGTAGGAGCATATGGCTTTTTGAATTCCCTTCATTATATATTGAATGATTAGGTAGGCTTTTTCTTTTATTTGCCTTGCTATTTTAAAAAATGGCCCCAAAAGGTTTTTCAGTTGCCTATTAATTTGATTTTTCTGAACCACCCTGAAATGGAGATAAAATTAGTTATTTCGATTTTGGAGGTAATTGGCATTTCTGATTATGTCCCATTGCTTTGCACTCTGGGAAAGTCCCACCCATAGATGATTCTATCATTTTAGCCAGAAGGCTAAATTAAGTTAAGGGGCTTAGTGAATGAAGCACAGCAGTGGGGTATAATTGGAAAACATTCTTTGGGCACTGTGAAGTCTGTCTAACAAAAGTGACAAGAAATAAGAGCAAGAGATATTCCAACTCCTCCATGTACTACCTTATACATGCAACATATGCACGTTTGTTGAAAATGGGCTTTCACACATCCTGGGAGTCCAGTGCAATTTCAAGAAAATGCATTTTAGTTTTTTTATTCATGATTTAAGCAGACACCTGAACAGAGTTTTATCTTGCTCTAAGACAGTGTTTTTGGAAAGAAGATATGTGTTCATATGTGGGATTGGGGAGAATTTTTATGGTTCTGTTTTCACTGTTGCGGTCCTCTAAAAACCCTGATCAGGTATGCTGATGTTTTAGTTCATGTTATGAGATTATTTAAATGTGCTACTGCAAATACAAAAGTTGTTCAAACCAGGAGGATATAATGCAATTAGCTATGTATCTAATGCATTTGGTACATTTCTGTAACAGATTCCATCTTTTATCTCATATGTTTTTGCTGGACACCTCTGTTCTTGATTACTTTATTTTCATTTTTCATTTTATTTTCATTTTTACTTCCTCACACACTACTGAGGTCCCAACATTTACTCACCTCTATAAATGACACAAAGCACAAAGGCATGCAATTGGGAGGGTGAGGTTGATGTATCGGTGGTGAGTGCTTGTTGACTTTGGCTAAGAACCCATAAGTAGAGCTAAATAAGCTTTTTCTGTCTCCCCAGCTGGTAATGGTGAACTGCTGAGCTTGATTGGTTTCACTTGAATGAGACGTACCAGCAGCTGACAGGTGCCCGTTGGACGTCAGGGAGTTCCAGTTAACCTTTTGTTTAGTGACATTAGAACATAAAAAGGCTACAGATAAGAGACCATTCAGCCTATCTAGCTCATTTGGTAGACATTTAGGTAGCTTGGTTCAAACTTGTCCATACAATTGCTTTAGTTGTGTGAGATGCAGGAAAAAAGAATACAAATTAAATTCTACTGTGGGGAGAAAAACAGGCCTCATTGAATTTGCACTTATCTGTCATTTATGTGATAAACTTGTGAAACAGACAATTACTGTATACAGTATCTTTGTTCATTAATCAATTTTTTTTTCTGTCCTAGCTCATATTTTACTATGGTGCAAATGACCACTGGTGCCCAGTACAGTATTATGAAGACATAAGGAAAGATTTCCCAGAAGGCAACATTCAACTTTGTGAGAAAGGGATTCGACATGCCTTTGTGTTGGATGCTAGCAAAGACGTGGCTTCAATGATCACGGAATGGATTCGTACTGACCTGGAAAACCTGTAGCTTTGCAGAAACTTGCCTTCACAGAAGAATCGCCCATTTACAGGGTTTGTATTTAATCTGCAAAACCAAGGTCTCTTAACCTGAAGTACAAAACATTGTCAGTGTAGAAGCCTTCATAACTACTCAACCATGTTTTTTGTTTCGCTCAAGATACATTGACCTGTTGTGGAAAAAATGTAGATTTTGCAAAGATTTTTGTATAATTTAAAAAAATTGGAGTGGGTTCCAATATAGTTTAGACACTATATCTGGTTAGAAATGACTTATATGAATATATGTATGTATAAATGTCTAATCTGGTATAAATTGTATGTCATAATTATATTACAAGGTATATATTTTAAATGTGTTGTTGTTGTTTAATTGGTTCATTCAAATTTCAATCTACTGTAACTATGTATTCCATGTACTGTACATTATAATACCAGTATGACAGCTCTCCATCGTTGTCAGATGATAGACGTGATAAATATAAATTTATGTGTGTTAATCTAAATATCCATCATCACTGTACATTGGTTTTATTTCAAAATGCAAGGTCTGAACATTTGTAGTTTATAATTTGGATAATGTAATTTGTGTAAGTTATTGTGATTTAATATATGTAAAAAGAAGAATGACGCAGATTAAATGCCAACCTATTTTACTGGTTTTCAGTCCTGCGAAAAGCAGCACTTATTTATTATCTGTACCATAGACAGGAAATTAGTTAAGTATGCTTTTTTTGTATGCAGCCTTTTGTTTTGCATCATGTTTGGGTCTGAGCTTTCTGAAGGTTTGCTGATAAATTTGTCTTTACATTCTCAAATCCTATTAATATAGAATATTTTTCCCATTTTGTTTTGTTTTGCCTGTATTGCATGAAATGGCCTTTAAAAACAAAGGTTTGCAGGAATCCCTGACATAAAAATCTAGATGAATGATAGACAACTGATTAATTGCTCTCATATATATTCACCGTTTACATTAGGTATCACATAAAAAGATTATATCAGTACATGTCGATGATAATCTTTTTTAAAAAAGCAGTGCAATTTCATTGTGTTTTAAATCTCTTATGTTAAGCGAATCCTGCTGTGCGAAATTTTCTCCTTTTAAAATGAGAATTTCCTGAAGAAATCATTCAAAGACAAGTACAGTAGCACTTTTTCCATCTAAAACCTGTAAAATATATATATATATTAAACTTAAGTTTCTTCTGCAGAACACCATTGATATGTTATGTGCATTTGCAATGTTGAAGGTGCCCCAGAGGGAGAATATGTGCATTTGCATGTTAGTATTTTCAGTTTTACAGACATCATTGAAAAGAGATATTGAGAAAATAGTCTGTGTACTGGTTTTACATGGTTCATATTCCCGTCTCTTTAGTTCAGGCATTTGCTCCACACTGGCTTCTGTGTTTGTGGTGGGCAACGCAGATGTTTTTAGTGTTAACTTTGTACATCAAGATAAGCGAGAACAGGCTTCTTGTTTCTAGAAAGCACAGTAGGCAAGAAAAAACAAACTAAGACATGGGACATGGATCAAAGCAATTATTATTTTAGTGCAGGTTGTAAATACTATAAATACAAATTGGGAAACAGTGAGCCAAATGAAGCCAACTTCTTACTTGATAAAATAGGTTTGGGTGTTAATATTGACTGAATGACCTTGTCTCACATACAGTATAACCCTGCTGGAGAAAGAAATATGTTTGTTGAAAATATTGACTGCTGTTATGCTGAACATTACTTGAGGAATGGTACAGTAGGTAAAGTATTCATACTGTGTTCCTTAGGTGTTACTTTTATACAGTTTTGACCTTTGCTATGGAACCACGTTGTTTTCAGATTTTATTCACAGCATCAAATTAATTAGGAAACTAATACGTAAACATTAAATATGTAATATTGTATATATAATTGTATTATTATATGTATTTAACCTTCAGATTAATCCCTACTGACATTTTTATCAGAATAATAAAGGACGCTTTGCAATGTGAAGACAGTTTGCTTATATTATGTTTGTCCAAAGTTTTAGATCCTTTTAAAGGCATTATGTTTCCCTTATCAAATGTCCTAAAGTTCAGGAAATCCAAGCCTGCTTACTTTTTCCCTGTCAGAAAAAATGGCAATTTTTTCCATTAAACACTTTAGTAGCAATAGAAAAGGACAAAAGTGCAGCCAAAGAACACAGACCAAGGTCAGTGAATTGCACCAATTCAGATACCAGAAGAGCCAAAATAAGCCAAGAGCTCTGAAGCCATATTTCATCAACAGATCACCCAGGACCCTGAAGGTCTCAAAAGGCCGTGACATGTAACGCCATCACTCAGTGCCAACTTAATTTTAGATGTCAGCCCACACAAAAACAGAAAATAAAAGTTTTAAAGGATAAAACTGTCTTGTCATGTGGCATTTTACTGTATCTACTCCAGTTTTGTTTCGCACACTTAGTATATATCTGATAGCTTGTAATACATTCCAGTGTTCTAATGTCATTTTTATCTAGAAAATGCCTGGAATTTAATGTCGCAAAACTAGTGTGGAATGTGTAATTTTAAGAAAATTACAGTGTTGAATGTAAAATGCATTAAACCAGCCCTGTGCAATGGCTCAATATGTTTTTTTTTATTGCATGCAAATCAGTATTCACACCGGTGCTTTTTATTTATTATCTCTTTTATTATGTCTTCAACCTGATCACTTAAAAATAAATTTCAGAAACCTCTTTAAAAACAAAAATGTTTGAATAACAGCCAACTTATTTCATTTCATAGCATCCACCCATCCATCCATTTTCTAAGAGCTTTATCCAATACAGGGTCACAGGGGAGTCGGAGGCTATGCCAGCAGGTAATGGGCGCGAGGCAGGGTCCGCAACACCAGTCCGTCGCAGGGCGCACACAAACACACATACTTAGACATTCACAAGACCAGTTTCCCAGAAACCAGTTAATCTACCAGTATTTCTTTAGACTAGGAGGAAATTGAGAAACCAGAGGTAACCCACATGAACATGGGGAAGAACACACAAGCTCCATGCAGATAGCACCCCAGGAACTGAACCCAGCATACCCAACATATTTAATCTCAGGTATGTGTACAGTAAAGTGAAATGCAGTATAAAATGTGTTGTTAGCTTTTGCCCTAAAGAGGATCTGAACCTAAGTGATAGCATTCAGAAAGGCAAATATGGTTGGACCTTGCTTCTGCAAAACGCTGTTTTTAAACAAAAGTTTGGGAGGAGGGAAAATTATAATTTTGCCCACTTCCACTCTCCAACGCATAAACAGTTACTCTCGCTCTCCCCTGTGCTATTTTCTTGTACTCCACCTTTACCCTTGTGTCAGCCTCTTGGCTCATTCCGCGTGACGAGAGAGGGTACCATCAGCCTCATTCCCATGGACAGGCTGCCATTTTCCCAGCCATGCGAGTCAATTTTCTTCTCTTTGTCGCAATTGCTCACAAGGAATAATACCAAAGAATTAGGTGTATTAGATAAGGTTTACTGAGTGTTTTAGTAATAGTTAACATGGCTGAGGGCCAGCCTCCTGGCCATAGGATGAGGAGGCTGGGAATCCCATGCATATTGAGGTTTGAACCTTGGGGCAGCCACACAGGTAGAAATGGGGTGGAGAAGGGATGGAAAAGAATAAACCGAAGGAGAGAAGAGTACTATACTTACCTATATTATTTGTTTTTCTAGCTGAGGAAATTACATCAGAAATAACACTGATTTAGGTCAATTGAAATTGGCTCCCTATCTTTCTTTGTAAACTCCATTAATAAGGATTTAGCTGAACTACTGAAAAGTCAGATGACCCAGAATCCAGTCTACCTAAACCCACCCTGACTAAAAAACATTTCTTCAGAACCTCCTACAGGGGTGCAGAAGGGTGGGGGGGCTACTGTCTTATTGAAATGCTTGCTTCCAGGTCCATGAACAGTCTGGATGAGGTTTAATACCTACAATTCCTGCTTAGCCATGTGCTGATCACCTCCAGATCACAGACACAGACACAACATGAGGATGATATCAGAATCATTTATAGTTAGAATAGTGTCGCTAATCAGGTTGAGCTGGGTTAGCAACACTAGCCTGTTTGGCTCCTAAAATACATATCTCTGAGGTAGATCCCACTGAGGAAACCAATCCCTCCTTAATCTCTTTCTTGGCCCCATCAAAAAGAATGACAAAGCCTCTTAATTTGTTTATCCCTGATTTAAACCATGAGGCAAGGATGATTTCGTTTGCAATCATATAAGGAAATAAAGTAATTCCGGCCTAGTCAAGCACATTGTGGCAAAGCAAACAAGCGTTACTGCTTTACTTCTTCAATTGTGTGGGTCTTCTGTGGTGTCTACAAGCCGTTCCAGAAATATTTTGGCACTTCACATCTGCGGTATCATCTGTAACAGATCATAATTTTACAAAGCCTTCTATTTTGTTTTGACAACGCTGTAATGTAATAGCTTTTGCAAACATTATAACATAATACATTATCTTTTATATATACAATATATGGACAGTTCTGCTCATCTTCCAGCACGTTGATTAACATGCTTGTGTATGTGAAGTGTGCTTACAGGCCCTGTGCCATTGGAACACCCCTAGGACTTCCTTAGCCAGAAGATTAATTTGACATGACTGACTCTGAATACCTTTGGAATGAATATGGACTTCAATTCAAATGGCATCTGCCAGCAAAGAATCTCACTTTTTGTGGGGGATCATAAAGTATTGCTTCAGACAGCTATCAGATCAATGAGGCCAAGCTGTATGGCCCTTATTGAAAGTTATTCACATACCTGAGACCCTACAGAGACCTTTCCCTGGGTGCTTAAGTCTTTGCTGTTGTATTACCAAGTTTCTCAGGCCTGTGGACTTACAAACATCCTAGGTTATACTGATAAAACTAAAGCTGGTTGCACACATCAGTCTGTTCAAAAAGAGAATGTTCAAGCTATTGTTTGACCTGATACATAACAATATCTCTTCACAGTGTATATTTATCCATAATTCTAGAATGCAAAATTACACTGCAGTTGTAATTGCACATTTCTTTACCAGTATATGTACTTTTGCTGTGAAATGACTGACACGTGTAGCCAATTAACCTACCAGTATGCCCTTGGACAGTGGGAGGAAAGCAGAGTACCTAGATAAGACCCATGCAAACAGAGAGAGCGCATACAAACTCCATGTAGATAGCACCCCGGGAATTGAACCCAGGGTCCAGCAATGTAAAGCAGCAATGTAAAATAACCATTGCACAAGCAGCCCTAAACCAGCAATGGGAATTTGCAGTATTAGGAAGAGACCTCATCTGTTCACAGCAATATCTACGTCCTGAAGGGTCATGTAAAGCATTGAACTTGAAGATTGACCTCACGCTGAGAGGTTTATGAAAGGATCAAGAATTACACTACTGTGCTTGGGTTGTTCTATACATTGTTCCTGCTTTGTGGATGTAGTTAGTAATTGCCATCCATGATAACAGGATAGTGAGCAGGTAGTGAACTTCAAGCAAAGATTCAGTCTTGAAGACCATGAAGCTTTTTACACAACACCTCACTGATAAAACTGTATAAATACACACACCAGGAGAAAGGTATAAAAAGATTTAAAAACCCTTTATATCTCTTTAAGAATGGTGATGTCAGTCACTAAGGTAGAAGGCATGCAGACAAAACCTATTTCAGGCTGTCCCTCCAAAATGAGTAGCCAGGTAAAGAGGATACCAGCTAGGCTTGCCAACATGAGGACAACAGTAACTTTGAATTCACCAGACTTCAGTGGTCGAGAAATGCCTAGGAGTAAAAATATCCTGGTCACTCTACTTGGGGTTTGCATGTAACTGTAGAAAAACATCTTAAACCCTGCATGAGATTTGCAGCAAAGCACTTAAATGATACTGCAAGAATGTAACAAAAGGCTTTGTGGTCAAATGACAACATTGGTACGTTTACGTCTAAATGCAGTTTCACATCTGATGCAAGCCTAACATTGTGCATCACTCAGTCAACACCATTCCTACTTATCACAAGCATGCTGATGGCTACATTATAGCTATACTTCTCATAAAAAGGGACCAGAAGGCTTGTCATGACTATTAAGAACATTGATGGGGCAAAGAACTGTCAACTCTTAGAGGAAAACTTGTTTTAGACCTGAAACAAGAACATAAATTCACCTTTCAGAATGAAGGTTTTAAAACGCTACTGTCTATAAAAGATCCCCAAGCAATTTGAAAGAGCTTGAGCAAATCTGCCAAGAAGAATGAGCAAATACTTAAAAGAGGCAAAATATGGCATATCTGAATGGGATTTGACAGTTCAGTTAGATCCTGGTGAAAGCAATAGTGGTTTGAGTATATTACAGGTTGTTTTCAGTATTTGTTGAATTGAAGGGGCTGAGAGACAAAACTGAGATACAGGGGTGCTATGTATATACTGTATATATAGGAGAGCAGAAGGATCTGAGGATTAAACCATCCTCCCAAATGTCTGTTATACATTTCATTCTGTAAAGTGTTGATTACTGTGGAGTGTCAAAGCTAATATTTGGCTAGGTCAACTGGATCATTTTGCCTACATGTACATAATTTAGAATTATAATTAAGCAGGGAATTTTAATTATTTTCCTAATAAGGCTGATGCAGCAACAAAATATAAAAAGTGAGTTGTTGCATCAATTTTCAGTTCCGTCATTGACCAAAACAAATTTAAACCAAATCTGGCTTGAAACTGCATCTGAAATGACTCATTTTGTAATACCATAGTATATTATATGTATTAAAATGGCAGAAGAGGGGCACATGAGAATTCAGATGTAAGAGTTAATACAAATCTATATAAATTATCATGATTATCCAACGGAGACCTGGGCAGTATCTGTTTAGCTGAAAAAAAATATATATTTTTTCCAGAGGAGTTAAATACAAACCATATACCTACCACACCCAGATCAGACACACAGTTTCCCAGTGTTGTAGATGCCAGAAACTGGGCCATCATCCACATCAATTTCAATCCATCAAGTAAAACATTCATGAAAACGTTCACATCTGCACCCAGAATCATATCAGATTCACAGTTCCAGCAGGGATTTGGCCAGGAAATTTGAAAAAACTAGTCTTAACGTTCTAGGGGCAGAAACGGAAACACAAGCAATTTTTTCCTTGAAAAATGAGCTTTTAAATACATTATGCCATACTCCTCAGTCATCCCTAACCTGAATTCAAGAACCATTTTGTTTTCCCGTTGAATAGCTAATGTTAGAATATTTAATAACCTTTATTAGCCCAAAATGAGATCCTACATGGACTATTACGGTACGTTTTAGATCCATTTTCTAACCACTTCTTCTAATTTGGGGCTGAGGAGGGTCTGGAGCCTATCCCAGCAAGCCACGGGCACAAGGCGATACAACCTGGACAGGATGCTAGTCCAATGCAGAGCTATAGACTACTACAGGGTTATTTTATTCATTATTTGTGTGCTGCCAGCTCAGGATTGATTTATTCTTTCACAATTTTAATAAAGATTTTTCTTTCAATTTACTTCAAATGTCACTTCACCTCATTTGTTAATTTCACAGTTCAGTTTTGATCATGGGTGTAAGCTGGCTTTAAACCCTGGCTTCAAAATTGTCAAAGTGTTCTACTTGTGATTTATCTTGAAGTAAAAAAAGCTATTTGTTCAATAAATTTATTCTTAGTGTGAAACACCAGTAAAATAGTAATGATTTAAAACTTGAAAATAAACTTTTATTAACTGGCTAACCTTCAGAGAATGACCTCACTTATTTGAATTAATAGTTTTAACATTAGACTCGCTGTGAACTATTACGTGTAACATTTTGCCTTTTACTTGTTAATATATTGGACTAAACACAGCATTTCCTACTGTTTAAGAGCCCTGCTGAGCCTGAATATTGGCAGCACTTAAGAAAGAAATATCTTCCAAGCTGTTATATGATAAACAGATGTTTATAGTATAGGGCTTTTTACTTTTATTTTTTCCTGTTGGCAGTTACGAACTCACCTGCAGATTTAGCTCAGTGCCTCCAACCAGCTTCTCTCATAAAACGCGAGAGCTGACATTCTTTGGAAAGGGAAATGGCCGACAGACATTTTTACGAAACCCCAGAGCAGTACCACTTTCTTGGATATGGACAGTCTGCCAACAGGGAGCAACGGGCAGAGTAGAGCTCATTTCTGTACAGTTACCCTATCTTGCAGATCAAATATGACTTTTACTGTTCTTCCAAACATCTGAGCAAATTTTCTTCAATACGATTTACTTACTGAACACAGCCTCTGGTGGTCCTATGAAAGTAGGATGAGCTGGTTTTGGAACAGAAGAACAGAAGACAGGCTAGAACCAAATGCAAGAAGGCTATGCAGTCCATCTAGATTATTTGGATAGTTTATAGCTAATCCTTTCCAGAATCACATCTAGCTTTCCCTTGATGGAACAGCTTCAAAAGTATAGTTGCGCCAGCTTAGTCCAGACACTCATGTCTCTTTGTACTGCAGAGTACTCCCTTAGGTATGAATAAAATGACTGTAGACATGTCAGAAATACTGCAGAAAACTGTAGCATGAGTCATGCAAATGAAAAGGACTTGCACAACAGAAAGTTTAATACTTGGGAATATACGAGGGATTTCATATCATAAACCGCCATAGCAAAAACAAAATTACACAGCTGGACATCCTTTTCTAAGAACTGCAGTACATGACAGCTCCTTTTTTATACTATATTTATACCAGTGTCTGTCCTGCCTTGAGGCTTTTTTCTTTCCGCAGTCAAATCAAAGCAAGATTAACTAAAGCTGTGTCCACCTGCTCCTTAAATTGAGTTTAAAATAATTTTGGATCATTCCTGTTTGTTTATATCAAAACCAGTCTTAGATCAAACTGTTTTGAATTTTTTTCTTTCTTTTCCTTAGGTCATTTTCCAGAGCTACCCACCTTCCCCTCCCACACTCTCTCTACCCCCTCCCTTTGAGAAACAAAATAACCTAATGATTAGAAAGTCTTCCCTGCTTTGGGAAGAGACAATCATTTTTTGTATATGTATAAGTATATGTTTATAGATTTTATATTTTAACTTAACTTACATAATGCTTTCAATAGATACGCTTCTAGCAAACCTATGAAAAAACTCTGAGCTATAACAATTTGCCACCAAACACTTAAAAACTGTATTTCTGTTTGAACATACTGTAGTTTATCTTCATCTTGAGACAAGAGCTCATGCAAAGTTAGAAAATATAACAATTAGGAATAAATATAACATTTTCAAGTTAATGTCAATGGCTTGTTTCATCTTTTTTAATCATATTAGAGCACCCTGCTTTTAAAACTTTGATTTTTCATTTTCTCTCAGACTGCAGACATTCCACATTGCGCCTGGGCTCAGCAGTAACTGATAAAGTCTTGTGATAAAAGAGGACCTTAGCTGGGGGAAAAACATAAGAAAGGTTACAAACAAGAGAATGCCATTCAGTACATTCAAACACATTTGATGTAGTTAATTGATCCAAGGATCACACCGTGTGGTTCTTCTCACCTAAACCCATCTTTATCTTTGAGTGACTGTGATGAGTGAAGTGAGAAGCAGTGTAACTGCCTGAAAGCTGTGCTGGGCAAACAAACCAAGTAAGTAATGTCATGCTCAGGAATAAGGAAACCTACTGCATGTCCCCAAGCCCAACCACCCAAACAAATATTGACATTTACTGACTGCTTAACCACTTTTGGAATTATCTTCAGTGGAAGTATTTTATTTTTCGAGTAGTCTATGGGACATACTGTAGTAATGATCGCCTAATTTTATACAATGAAGTGACAACATGGAAACACAGCTAGAGCAAGAGCTCCTTGTTTGATAATTGCCTACCACTTTGGTCAAATGCATTGTTCAGCTGTCAAGCCACACATTAGGATTTCATTTTTTGACCAAAATGCAGTGTCAGAATATCCACAACAATTAGTCTTACATTGCAACACAGTGAGGATACCAGCATCCTTCACCTCATTATATAGAAGATCTCAGAGAGGTGGGAGCTCTCAGCTGCTCTGATGGGTGATCTTGAAGTGCCAAGGCATGTACGAGGACTGGGAAGGATTGTCATTGAGCCAGGAAGATAATAGATAGACTCTACGCCTTGCGACCGTCAAAATAATTAGAATGACCAATTCTTTCAACGTGAGAAAAGCCTATTCTTTAAAAGTCAGAGATTATACTCAAAGTTTTCAAACTAATCAGAAGTGCAATTTCTATCAAATGCCAGTGTACAATAATAGACATGAAATATTACTTAATAACTAAATGTCACTAATGTTTTTTACACCTCTCCTGTAGGCTGTATGGATACTGAATCTTTTAGCTGATTGGTATCAATTTATTCCAAATAAGATGTTTCTTAGAAACAATGATCTTTGTCATATAATTATTTCATTTTCTTAGCCTCTAAAGGCAACCAAAAAAGCTATTTCTAAGGCTATTTCAATCCTTGAACCAATAATTTCTTCAGTGTTTTCACATATAGCATTTAAAGGGTGTCTCCAATCACTTGCTCTCAAGTATTTCTCCTTCGTCATTAATCTTTTTTTTCCTATAAAAATGGAATTCAGAATCACCTGCAAACTTGCTGCATGTTCTCTGGCAAAAGAATGAGACACAACACCAGGCCTGGTCTTCATTCCAGGCATTGTGGGTGAGGCAGACTGTCGCCAAGGGTTCACTTTCAGATTCATTTCTAGAAAACCAGACTCACAACATGGTTTTATTGTCAATAAAATATTTAATAGAAATCATCTGTACAAAACACTTAGAAAGGTTAATGGAGAGGGTACAAAGTGTGCTTACCTTTTTCAAATATATACTACTATATAATATTTCCAAAAGTAAAATACATTGCTGTTTACAGTTCATTTACAATTCAATATGTACAGTCCTTTATAAACCATAGATTACATACACACAGTGCATTTATACCATCACTTGTAAAAAACTGGCTTGTTTTTGTCTGTCTAATGACATCTCTAAAACCTCTGGTGTCAAACCGTAAAAAAATCAAATCTGCATTTAAAGACACAACATAACCTGTCTTGTTGTTTGTTAATTATTTTTTATTATTACTTAGATTCTCAATTGGAATTTAATTGAGATGAGACTGTTATAAATAGGAAGGCCAACTGGCAGAGAAAACATGAACATTATTTATAATCTATAAATATACAGTGGCTCCAAAACATATTAGCAAGCAGAAATTCAAAATAATTGCTTTACTGCGTGTGAGTGTCTGTATTTTATATATGCAATATATATGTACACACACGTCTGAACAAAAACAGATACATGTACATACATATACAGTATAAAGGAAAGATTTAGGCACACTGTGCAAACGGCAGATCACGAAAAAAGCTTTATTTCACCCAGCCCACACGTGGTCAATTGCTAGTAGTCACACATACAGTAACTTTATATTTTGTTTCTTTAGTATTACATGGAGAAACAAGGGGCCTTACGATGTTTTCACTGACATATTGTTAAATGACTGACAAACTGTTTCTTAAAATCTGTTATAATCAAACACAAGCTGATATTGTATGTTGTCTGTAGTATAATGAAAAAGATTTCATCTCTATTCCATTCTCTATTTACGTCTAAAGCAATATTCTGTGTCGTTTTGTTGTGTATTCCATGTATTAAATTTAGCATTGTGTTCTGAGCACTGTGAGATAACAAACAGAAAACTGAATTTACATCATGTGAGTATTGATTATGATTTATTCTTTTAAAGATGCTAAGCCCATCTGAGAAAGAAACAAAAGGTAAAACAAAATACTAATTTCCCTTCAGATGTGGTTCACAGAGTATCCCTGCATTAATGAAGAGCTCAGTAAATTCTTAGGTTGTTCTATAATTTAGACATCAAAAGATCTCAGTGGTCCAGATCTCCCAGATATACAGTCAAAACTGCAATACGAAAAAATAATTCTAAGGAAGAACAGACGTATTCACAAGATCTAAGCTGGTACTTGGCCTGCGCTTAAGCTTTAAGCATTTGTTCAGTTGGTTGTTTTCTTTGCAGTAACCTTGGTTAGGTCAGGTTGTGACACTTTCACAATTTTTTTATGGCAAAAACTCTTAGTGCATTAAAATTGGTTTCCAGATAGTTATGACTTTCATCAGGGGCATTTCCTATTGCATTTCAGTTGAATACTCTTCAGGTCGGTACAACAGCCAAACCAGCACTTGTTTCCTTGTTCTCGTCAGAAATATTTTTTACAATTACTGTAGCTGGCAATAGTAGCCATTTACTACAGTAAGTGGGCACAGTCACAGTACCAGCCAATAAGAAATCATTGCTTGTAGATGTAAATTACATATAGTTCTTGTTTGAATGCTTTTGTTCTTAGTTGACATGAGTTTTTGTGATATACTAATGTTGTTCAAAATTTGTATATTTTTTGTATGTTTCTTTTTTGTATATAACTTTTATATAACTTTATTACATTTCATAATCCTTATTATTCAAACTATATGCAAGAGAACCACTATTATAATTAATTATCTTTGTGTGTAGGCCCCTTTGTCCAGATTTCTGTCCAGATTAGAAATTTTAATTATAATTAATTATTCACCATTAAGTACATAATCAATCATACATGCCATAACAAGTGTAATTTTAATTATCGATAAGCTTCAAAACTGCAAAGTGCCTACTGTTTAGAAAATCCTAATGCCTCTCCGTCATGAAGTGTAAACACTGCAGCTCCAAGATTTTGTTGGTATCAAACAGATTCTTCACTGTTACAAATAGTTGCCTATTTCCACATTTGGGCACCAAAAAGGGATGCATGCACCCCCTGAATTACAAGGGAAAAGGGAAGTAATTTGATTTTTCACAAAGAAAAAAAATTAAACGAGTCATACGTCCCTTCTCTTGCCAAAAACAACTGAGTCATGTTTGTTAGCACCTGTTAATATTGGCCAAAATGTTCGCGGTTGCTATGATGACATCAGCTGCTATCTGCGTATTTCCCACTGGGAGCCTGCTCTGATCGAATTGCAGGCCCGCAATGAAGCTGATCAAAACTCAGCAACAAATGGTTGCAATTTCCATTATGACATGTCACCACTTGTCCCAGGGAATTTGCCTGTATTTTTTCATCAAATGCATGTCAACAAGGGGAAGTATCTTCTTGCTAAGCTTGTTATTGTAAAGGTTTTGCACAGGGGTCCGCAGGGTAATCAGTTAAGTAAATAAATGGAAATATAGAAAGAATGACAATATGAGGCAAGAGAGAGAGAAGATTGCTATTTGAGAAATACCAGAAAGAACGGGAAGATGCCAACTTTAAATAATGTAAATCTACACTTAATTGTACAATATTGGACCATTCCTGTACTAAAATGCAGTTTCAACTAAACTCTAGTTTACTGCTACAGGAAATTTCATTAAACAAGTTCAGTGTTCACAAGTGAGGACATTAATGTAAGTACATTCCTGCTTCTTGCTGTGCATCTTTACAACCCCCTGAATCAACTTAGCTATCGGTCATGTACTGAAACTGTACAATTAATTATTAAATCATAAAATTTAGTAACAGGGTGACCTGTTAAATCTTAGTCACAAAAATAAACTTCAATCACAACAGGCCTGGATATACTGTACTAATGCCTTTTTCATTTCTGCCAGTGTCACACATTTGTGTGTTTTGACGCACATCAGAACATTACGGTGTACTGTAGAATAGCGCAAGCTGGACTGTTGTGCTTCAAAAGGAATGTTACACACAGAGGTCTCCTTTCAATAGAAAAATGGTTTGTAATTGAACCATATAAATCTTAACACGTTCTGTTAAGAGGATCTCAGGCATTCATAGTGTAATTGGGAAGGATTCTTTTGTTAACATTGTGGTCATGATATTTCTCAATAGTTAGTATGGGGCAATATTACATCACTACATTTTTAAGGAAATGTGTTTATCATTACATTCACAGAATTTCATGGAAATAAAAGAAGACAAAATGAAACTACATAATGAGAATGTAACAAGTTTATAAAAGCAGGACATGTAACAATGTTGTATTGTTACCTTTGACTGATGAATAAGTATTTCACTCATTTTTTTCTTAATATCTAAGTATTATCTTTAATATTCTGTAATATAATTAATCCTTAACATCTATCCTTTACATCTTCCAGTTTCAAATGATTTTAGAATTGAATTTGAGCATATGTATAACAGGGCTCAGTGGCACTGATCATATTACAGACATGACATCAGCTCAAGGCGAGCAACACAGTCTTCGGGCCTCTTTGACTTCGCTGCTGTCTAAGGAGTTGTGCTCTTGTGTTCAGACTCCACAAGCAACTTTGATCAAATCCTAGCACTGGCTGAGGAGAGCTGAATTCATTTCATATGCATGTTTGCAATGGATTTGCCTGATGGGATGTATTTTCTACAAAACTTACTCTCTCCAATAAAGGTAGAATTTAAGTATGTAGATCCTGAAGTAACAAAAGATACATCTAAGTACAGGTTTCTGCAAAAATTAAAACTTACGCAAACTTGCTCAAATTCTTATGGGTGTTATAGCACTTAAGGGTACACAGAACCTTGTAGTAGTCAATATGGCAGTGGGGAAGGAATTATGCTGCGGACATTTTAAATATGGTGGATTAACATTAATTGTATAATATTCCTAGTCAAACGCTGCAGACATCTTCATTTGGAAAAGTTTTTTTTTCTCTCTGGTCTCAAGCTTCAAGAACCTTTGATAATACATGTGCTGATATGTACTGATATATTCAGCTGCCAAAAAGAATAGTAAATGTTTAAAAAAGATGCATGAGCCCATTAGTAATAATTGGTTTTGCATTCACAAAAGGTGAGTGTCCCTTATATAGACACGGTATGGATCTCGTTAGCCCAATTACAGGGGTCTAAGTAACATGCACATGGATAAAAAAGATGTATCAGAAGGTTCGCCCAAAAAGTATTAGATGTCTAAGCATATTGCCCTGTCCCCACTACCAGGGACAGTGAAGAGACTGAGAAAATGTAGGGTAGCATAGAGGAGACAGTGTGTGAAAACTGTTTTTGGAGAACAGAATAATATTAATTGAAAAAATATTATGATGACATATTAGCTTCCTTTCTCATTTAAGAACAACACCTTTTACTTCTGTGTAAACAGTGCCTGAATTTGAAAATGGACCACTTTACTTTATGGCAGTTTTATTTAAGAATCTGAGCTAATCACACCTTCTCTCCATCAACGCGCATGAGTCAGATGCACTTTATACTTTGAAAACTGTTAGCATCTACTTTTTAAGCCTTTTGTTCACACATTTTAGAGGATTTACTGTCAAACTCTTTAACACAAAATAACAAAATATGCAAACAAAAAGGTTGAGAATGTCAATGCAACTGCTTTCTTAAGTTATTTTTTTTTTCAGATTTGTTAGCTTATTTAGAAAACAGTACTTTCATAAATATGTCTGAAAAATACATTCTGCTTAAAATTGAATATCACCACTAGTCATGGATCTATTTAATGATATTATATTGTTCTGTCTTTTACAGTAAGAATGCCCATCTTAGCTGATTTTGATCAAACCTACAGTAAGTCTTTTGTCCTGCTCAAGCATATGATTGATGAATACACAGAGGGCAATGGTAAAGAAAGCCCTTCCCAGATAAAAAACTTTGGGACTTAATCTAATTTAGATTTGACATGTCAAATTCCACCTCATCAGGCCTGATGGGCATGGTGAGGCTGTTGAAGACTGGTAAATAGACATCTGCCAATGAATGTGAGAAAGAAGCTTACAGTAAGATTAATAACTGACTGCATTGTTCATTGGTCTCACTGGAGCAGCACTCCAGATGTTCACTGTGAAGGTGTGCACTTCTTTTTGACTGTGTACTGACCTCAAGTCGATCCTAAAGAGCTCCCAAAAACTTTTGATCAATTCTATATAACCATTTACAGCTTGTTTATTAAACAGGCATAGTATGCACACAGATGTTTATTATCAAGGTTCCTGCTTTTCTTTGGAAATTCCAGAATGTATTTGAATATAGTCTTCATAATTCACATTTGTAAAAATAAAAATCCGTATTTTTAGAAATGTTAAAACAAAGTGTTAATGCAACACATCTGACAGCAGGTACACTTACATGCTTACTGAGTGTAATTCTAAAGAATTACACATAGCAGCACAATGCGGCAATGGTCAATAATAATATCGAGCTCCAAGCAAAATTAAAGGTAGCTTAGCAATAAATTAAGCATAAAAGATAGCATGATTTTTCACCACCTAAACCATGTACAAAATGTCAACAAGGATGAAGATAAATGTAAAATCAGTTAGCAATGCTACAGCAAAAATATGGTTTTAATCTAATGCCCAATTATTTAACAATAAAAATCATTAGAACATTTGTTTTGGAAGAACTACTAAACATGTGTTCTTCTTCTGCAGAGGAACAATATGACACCTGGAGGAGCTGATCACTGTGCAGCTGGGAACATGGACGAAGCTGCCGTGCAATTCCACATCATTTAAAAAACAAAGGTGACAGTTTGTTTAGGTGATTGGCTTTCAATAAATAATAGGAGTCAATCAACAATCAATTCAATAAATTGAGTTTTAAATGAAGGTCAGGAGGAGGTCAACCCTTAAACTTGCTAATTTCCACTCACCTACATGTGAGTATCAGGTTTCTAACTCACCTAATATAAAGAGGGATTCATACAGCCTTGTCCTTATGGTCTAGTTGTTGACTCAGCCAGGTGGATTAGGCAAATAAATCAGCCTAATTCACAATATATCCTGATTCTGACTGAATCAGAGGTTATTGGAGCTATTGAAAACCCTTTTTGGAGGGTTGCTTACACTGCTATAAAAGTGAGATGACATGAACATTCAAAGTCTGCCCTGCAACTTGTGAATGATTCTTGAGATGTTCAACCAAAAGAGACCTGACACATTCAGAAATATCAAATCCTCTAATGTACATCTTAACTTTGTTAACATATAAAGTTACTGTCATTATCTGGCATTATTTTGTGCAAATACTCTTATGATAAACCTGAAACTGAATATTATCTGAACTAACTAAAAATGTACTGAGGTCACTGCAATAACGTTTATTTTTTAAATGTCTGTAATCTTTCAGTGTGAAAAGCGGCAACAATTTGATTTGTGCCTGTAATAAAAGCGCCTTTGGTTATCTAAAAAAAGACAAGGGTTAAGCCACTAAGCACAAAACAAAAAAGCATCAACGCTATATGTTGATCATTTTCCACCTCATCAAAAAGTCAGCTGGACTAATGTGATGAAAATGTTCAATAGCTGAAGAAACTCAGCTTTACCAATGTACATTGTAATAATATAGAGGGACTCTGGTCAGCTCAAAATACAATCAAGCAATTTAAAGGAGTCAATATTTTCTATTTCTGTTCTTTCAATATGAATAACATCCACACAAGAACACCCAAACCCACTTAAACACACACACACTCGCGCGGATCCAAACAGCGCTCCAGCACCAGCAGTTGAGACCAGCTGGCGGGCCATTGAGAAGTGCTGTTTCTGTTCAAGTACAGACGTCCAGGCTGCTACCTGCACCCACACGATTCCACCACCATATCTTCGTACTGCTTGTAAACCACGTTGTTACCCGAGTCTATGTACAAAATGCTGATTGGACTGAGTTTAGACGGAACACAGCAGCTGGGGGGGGTGGAGTCTGGATCCATGGAATTCATTAACGTTTGGATGATGGCATGGTTTGTGGGTTCTAGGTGAGACCTCAGAGGAAAGTCACAGATTCCTTCACAATGATAAGCCTCGTAATCCAAAGGAGCTATAATCCAGTCATCCCAGCCCAGCTCTTTGAAGTTGACATGAAGAGGTTTTCGACTACAGCGTGTTTTTCTTTTCCCGTTTCCTTTGCCTCCGCCTGGTCGGTTGGACACAGCCGTCCTCCTTCGCCGCAGCCGCTTGGAAAGACTTTCCTTACCGGGCTCCGGAAGATCCAAGACGTCCAAATCTTTCATGGATTTCATCCTGTCCCGGATCTCCTTGAAAAAGTTCTCCTTTTTCCGGGTGCGTGAGAAAGCCACCAGGATCGCCTTTTCCTGTGGCTCCCTCCAATGGCGACTCAATCCCAAAGACTCCGGGTAGACGGCTTCGTTGGAAGATTCGGATATAGCAACTAAGTCAAAACACATAAGCTCTCCTGTCCTGTGGCTTCGTTTCTTGGTCTTCATGCTGTCCCAAATGTCAAACACATCCCACTTTGATGACTCCATATCCAGAATGTCCACAGTCCTAGAATCCAGAAGTTGCCTTCCTGAATTCCCTTCTGAGCAAGTATATAGCAATATATGGTAAAGGTTTCCAGCCTGGTTCAGAGACAGAGGCAAGTTTGGGGGGGACTTTCTCAAAATCCTCAGCTCTGCTCCCACTAATTCATCTGATTTAGATAAGCTGGAAAGGTCAAATAAATACCGCTGGCTTGGCTCAGTGGAAGGAAGATCTATAAAAATACAAGCAAACAAAAAAGGTACTTCAGTAAACTGTAAGGATACTTGTGAAATACCACCAAAAAAATCATTATATTTTATGTTTTGTGTGTCCGTCCAATTAATACATTTCCTTATTCTACATTTAATACATTTATGTGTTACCTGGACTCCTGCTTGAGCCCAGTGACTGAGTAACTGAAGAGGAAAACCAAACCAAACATACACAGATGTGAACCTGATTCCTGGTGAACACATTTACTGATGCCGGTGATCCAAGACAAATCTTTTTCTTCTCCAGTGTCACTGCTGTTTATACTCTGCGATTGGATTACAATGTTATTTTTTTCTAGCAGTGCACAGATTTGCTGAATTAGAAAATGTGATTCGACTTAGTTTTTTGAGCTGGTGATATATGGTTTGTCACAAACATCTCTCATTTTTATAATACTACCTCTTATCTATAACAAATCGTCTGGAGTCATAGTTTAACTATTATCTCTCTCAAGATTTATGCTCTGTAAAATGTGCTGGCGAAGTATCATCAAGTTTAAGTGTGGTTGGGTTCATTGAATTCAATGCCTCTAGCTAGGAAATCACTGAGTGCACCCAACAGCACTGTCATGCTCATTTGCATTAGCTAAAGAATGATGTAGCGAGAAGCATTGTCATCTCAAAATGTAAATTACTCACTAAATGCAATACTATTATAAGTAAAGGAATAAAGATTAGGAAAAAATGTGCAATCAAATTCCATTCTGATGGGAATAAACCTCACTGGAACTTCCTGAACAAAACTGTTGCTATTGATAATTGTTGTTATCTAAGTAATGAAACCCAATTACATGCAGGACACATAAATTGACATAACAATTTTGTTTTCAGATCCAGTTTCCATGTAACTGCTGTGTCGTGATTGCCAAATCTGATATAGTTGAATATGACTGCAGAGGAATCTGATTTCTTAGTGTTGTGTAAATATAGTGCATGTTTTGAACACACCACAAGCCTAAGCAGCAATTCAGCAGTACCACTGTTGTTGCCTGGGAATCCGATGACAGTGCCATTTAGACATTGGTGCTGCCACATGTGAACAGAGAAAAGCCATGTGGGTTTAAATCCCTGTACCAGATGTGAAAAAAACATTACTCTTCGCATGCCACATGTAACCAAATGGTGAATTCTCAACTAAAGTGCTCAACTTAGGAGTTTGCCTGCATTTCTTAATTACTCTGGGTAACAAAAACCTGGCTAGAAAGAGAGATTGCAGGGTGTGACCCATTGATCCCCATTCTGCATCACTTACTGTATGAATGGCTAGGGAAGAAAACAAGGAACATGCTCAATAAGAAAATACGGATATTATATGGAATCCAAGGAAAACACAGCAGGCTGGTGACTAAAGCAGAATGAACTGCAATGTGAGAAGCTGAAGTTGGCTCCATTTTCATGAAGCTGAATGATAAAGAGAACTAAAAAATGCTCTCAGCAAAGACTCCGGCATAGAGGAGCTGCATATCTGCCAACTTCTATAAAGACAAACTGGTGTGTGTGGAGCAGACCTAGCTGTCATTGAAGAAGTTCATATCTGCTGAGTTGTGTTGGGAGTAGGGAGGCTGGAGGTGTGTGTGTGTGTGGGGGGGGGAGGTAGTTATAAACTGTGGGCAGGATAATGACAACTGAAGGGGAGGGGGGATTCCCACATTGGGAGTGTCTTGGCAGGTATGGAGCTGCATACATAGAGCTCTCCTGGCTTGCATTTGCACTGAGCCAAGTACTCCATGTATTTCACTCTCCTAATGACAAATGTGTGTATATCTGGGCTTGGAATTGGAAGTTTTTGTAATGAAAGATCTTGCAATAAACCCAACACAGCAAGGCAAACGATGAGCAGTCGATTCAACAACAAAAATAAATCCGTTCTTCCCTGCAGTGTTGTTTCTTACCGAGACAGAATCGTTAATACAAAATTAAAAGAATTGTTCATACAAAATTCATGTAATGCATAGCATTTTCAAGATACGTCAATGGGTCAGAAACGAAACGATTTTTATAAGGAAGTAAAATTGCTACAACAAATATTTTTTTTAAACAAAAACAATTACAGTAACCCCATCGGCACTGCCCATTTAGAACTCCTTAACAAGAGGCGTGCAACCAACGGATCGTCACATACTCATATAAGCATCTTGTTGTTTAAGGGGTAATACTGTACCTTTATCTTACTGAACATCCCAAGAGCGAACCCCAGCACTAGTAGTTGTAATTAACCGCAGCCAACGACTAGAACACTCTGCAGGGTTGTAACTTACATTGTAACAATTCACCTTAGTATCCGAGAGTTTTCAGCTGTATGAATCTTTTCACTCTGACACATGTACGTGTCAACACTTCCAAGGGCTGTATGTCATTTATGTTTTATTGATGTTCCCTTTTCTTTCTTGCGCTGTTTTCATTTATCTGCAAAAGTGGTGTAAAAACCACTTGCTCAGGTAGTCGTTGTAAATGAGCGTTTGTTCTTAACTGACTGATCTACTTCAAAGATTACCGTATACAAATTTCAATGCTTACAGTTGTAAATGCAAGAAAATTAAAAAATGTGCTGTAGGTGTGGTTACAAAACTCCAATGAACACGTTTTGGTTCTTAGATTAAAGTGTTATAATAAATTAATTTCTCTGACATCAATAATGTTTGTCTAATAATTCAAATCAGACTCAGTTTAGACGTATTTACAACTTTAATTTATAGTTCTTCTAAGTAAGAAAAACTTTTTATCGGTTTATATTCTTAAAATCTGCCAGTTAACAAGCAAAGAAAATAAATTGCGATTCGTTACCTTGAAAATACGATGTGAAAAGTGCGATATATATTGCATATCATGTATAACGTTTTAGTGAGATATATAGCCTATACAAAATACATACGTGAAACCATCCGGCTACAGAAATTATGGAGGTAAAACAATTTGCTCATTATTTTGAGAAATAAGATGAATAGTAATTTCATTAAAAAAGTGTTAATATAAAATGTTAATTTTGAAACATATTTTTGTGATTTATTGCGACTTTTTGTCGAATCGGTTTTTTTCAGTACTGTATGTACAGTAACTCCACAAATAGCGTCGAAACAATCAGATGACAGTTTTTCAGGAAATTGATAACTCCTAATTACAAAACACTAGCAGATGGACAAACAAAATTAATTATGTCCTGGACACAATCAAGTGTGGATTTCCCGCCCTCTTCTGCATCGTGTTTTATTCACACTTAAGAAAAGAGTTATTTTGCAGTTTTCCGCGTTCAAAAAAACGGTGTTCAGTAAAATAACTTGTTATACATTTTCGTAAGTTTTAAGACATTGGGATGTTTACCGAAAATTACATTTCTTTTGTTCTTTAAATTACTTTTAATATTTATTTATTGCTCCGAAAACACGAGAGCTCCCGATATATATCAACGTTTTTGTCCTAAAGACTGCACTCAAATCCCACATCCACACTCCTCTTGGGTACAGAGAAATAAAACGCCATTTCCTTAAAGCGTTTTTTTTTTCAGTTAAGCCCTTTATTTGTAGCCCTACGTTGTATTTAAGATGTTAGAATCGCAATATGTTTAGACCTACATGGGAAATAATCATCCCATGAGCAATTAGGATGGTTACAGATCTCTGAGTGCACTTTAACAGCTAGAACGTACTTAACACTCGTCAATCATGCTCTATTATATGGTGACACCAAGGAATTTGTATGTGCTAGTCATAAAAATGAGTTCACGTGTTAAAATAAACGGAACAGCAGTGCCAATCCCAGTAACAAGGCCTAATATTTACAGCAAAAATCTTAAATGATTTCCACTTCCGAAAAGTATTGTACAGCCAGAGATTAACGATATTTTGGTCTAAACGATAGTTTTAAACGTGTGTAATTCAGAGCAGACTCTCGTACACAAATGGATAAATTAATTCAGAGTCTGGATAGATTTTGTCAAATACAGAATTACATTTTGAATCCAATAAAGGGGGGGGG